TTAATGTTGCTCAATCTGAATATACCTATCAATTAATTATAATTTTAGCTATTCAGCAATACAGTTGCTTCAGCAATAGAAGTGTATAATGATGAACTAGGCACTTGTACTGAACCAACTGTTACATTCCTTAGAAGGATAAATAAATTGGTGGACATTATGAATTCCTCAAGCCCAAAAACTGCTTTGAAAATTGGGTCTGAAGGATACATGGTAAATTATCAAAATTCAGTTTGAATTTTAATGCAAAACGAACAGTATTAGTATGATCATCACATGAACCACACAAACAAAAGAAATTAGACATTGCAATGTTTTCACCCCTATTTTATTTCAGGAATTACAGAATTTCCTTGTATATTTGGAATTATGGGAGGAATGTTCTCCACAGTCGATATTTTTATCAAAATCAACATTTGAAGGATTGAAAGCCACAATTGCATGTACCCTTGATTTGACAGATTATCTTACAAAGACTGGATTCAAGTACTTTATGACTGCTAGGATAAATCAAGATCATCTAGAGGTAGGTACATCAGATAAATTCATTCTATAATGGACATAATACTTGTTCTGTACTGATGAAAACAAATGGTCATCAACCAGTCTTGCAGTCAATAACAAGCTATCCAGTTTTGATACAATTCAATAAAACTTAATTGAGTTATACTGACAAATCATTGTTCCCAGATTTGGAAGTAAAATTAATAAATTTCAAAGATTTACTCAACTTTGTTTTTCAGCACTTTTTTGGGATGATGCGAGCGGCTGGGGGGTGTAATAGTCACCCAGAATCAATCCAAGTGGGCCAAATATTCAGACTCATGTCATTATTCTCATTAGTTAAGCCCCCCAGAGGAAGCAATGTAACAGGTGGTGACATGATCCATTCTCTTATTGCTATAGGCGACCTGAAAGAAAAGAAAAAAATGAAATTTGTGTTTGATCTGAACATTGATTCAGATGATCAAGTCAATACGGTTGAAGAGGTTCAAGAAGAATTTGAAAATGTTGAAGAAGCATTTGCATATTTTTGTGGATATATTGCCAAAAAGGCCAAGAACTCCACAAAATGTGGTGAATGTTTAAAAACATTATGTGGAAATGGAAATGAGAAGTTCAACTCATTCATTAAAATGAAAAGTAGAGGATTTCTTACATTTCCATCCAATTTGATGATCTCATTCCTAACTGATGTTGAAAATACAATATCAGGTATATTTCAAAGTGATTTAAAAAAATGTTCACTTTCACTGATTGGTGAGAAACTAGCAGTTTTCAAGCCAAAAGTTCTTTTAGGTTGTATTTTCCATGGAAGTGAGTTCACTAAAAACATCATAGAAATGTATGTCATTTCAAGATTGAGCATATGTTGTTCAGAAGAACAAAAACTAAGAAAAATTGACAACAAATCTAAAAAACTTGCCAAACTGGCTAAATTGAATTGACACCTCATAATCTCATCATGATTGATATGTTTGATATTTTTCCTATGTCAAATGAAACCACCTCCCTTCATTTGGCCTTAATTTATGAGGCGTACTCATTTTAAAATATTTACTACATATTCACAGACTGCATATCTTCACTTTCATTTTGCTATGCAGGAAAGGGAATCTCTATTATGTTCTTGGAATGTTGTGCCTGCTTTGGGTAGAAAAGGTGAGAGATAGGTATTGGCATATCGGAGGTTATATATTTTTTTTATTCTTTTGGAGCGCAAGATAGGGAATCTCTATAATGTTCGAAGAACACCCTGCGTACCTAGGGAGAAGAGGTATTCATTTTTTTGAATTTCTGGAGGTTATAAGTTCTTGGGAATACTTTCATTGGCAAAGAATTCCAAATATTTGCCGTTCTATTTCCAAAGCAATGAAAGTTGCCCATTTTGAGGGGTACCTTGAGGGCCACACTGTAATTATGTTGACAAATCAAAAATATTTCGACCATTTTCAGAATATTTGGGGATTGAATTTCATTGGTTGAACCTTGATAATAGATACAAACAAACAAAATAACAAATGTTATAAATGATAATTGACTTTAGAAAGATGAGGATCACTGATTTTCATGTGGAAACAAAGAAGGGACAGTTCTGAAGAAATTAGGCTCAGGGAGCCCCTCAAAAACTGAAATGGCACGTTGAAAAGTGAAGCACAGCAACTCAATTTGAATTCAAAACAAATAAGGAATTTCCTCCTACTCATTTCTTTATTTCTTGAAATGGAGGCACTAGAATTAGGGAAAATAAAAACTTTTGTAACCCTGATGCATATTTGAAAAATGATCTTTATATTTTTGGATTATTAAACAATATTTTATTAGCGCCTAAAGATCAACTTTCTTCTCATCCACAAAACCTTTTCATTTTATTTTCAGATTCTTATCATGTGTGTTCAATAGATATAATTTAGTGTTCGTCATGGCAAGTAGCCAGGAAAGTAGTTGTTTTCTGTTGAATAAACCCATAAAGAGTTGATATATTCATTGCAAAGAGAATGTGAATTCTCAATATATTTCTTTGAAAATATATATATAAATTTTTTTCATATTCATGATATATCTGAGAATTTTCCTTTTTACCATAGATATTAAAAGCTATCCCACATTTTTTTCTAGAAAAATGACTTAATGGTAAAAATATAATATCCTCAACTCAGTAAAGCACTGAAACTTGAGCTGTAGTGGAGAAATAGATGCCTGAACTCTGATAAAAATTAGTTCCACTAACCCAAAGAATTAAAAGTTTTATTTGATCTGCATCTGGTAATTGCTGCTATAACAGTTTATTTTAATACCTATATAATGTTCTATAGTTCTATAGTTGATCTGATCTAGTTGGAATTTCCTTATTTTCTTTAGTCAGAAAATCAAAAAGAAAGCTGATATCACTGAAAGTGGAATACACACAAAATAGTGGAATATAATCAATGTATAATATTTTTTTTGAAAATATGCACAAGCTTCACAAGCATATTGAAAAAATAATGATAATTTCTTTTTGCGGACACCTTGTGTTTTATGATGATAAAAATCGGTAAAGGTACGTTTCAAGTGATCCTGATTCAGAATCCAAGATTATTTTTTGTGAAAAAAGTCCCAAATAGTACTTCCTGAAATTTAGTTCAATAAAATTGGTCACTATGACAATAGTCCAAGAATAAAATCACTGTCTTAGTGGATGGACATTTCAAATACCTATCCAACAAAAAAAAAGAATTTCAAAATCGACAGATTATGATGATTTTACAGGGGTGGTAAGTCCTTATTATGGACACACTGTATAAGAATTAAATTAATTGAGTACCTAACTATGGCTAATTTCTTAATTTATCATTAATTAATGCTATTTGAATTAGAATGTAATTGGAAAGAGTCTTTTTCAAGGCCTTTTTGGACTTCCATTGTCTACAAATGGATAACAAAAATATTTTTAATGAAAAGAAAATGAAATTAGAAACATGAGAGGGGAAGAATAGTTGTAGAACAAGAAAAAATTGAGAAGAAAATTATTTTTCATCCCTCTCGTGCATATTTCTATTTTCACTCCATTCACTTTTCTTCTTATACAATTAGTTTCAATATCATTTTTAAGATAATGGTAGTATGAACCAACTCTCTTCACTCAAGACATTGTCAATTACCTAGGTAGGTTGCAAAAAAATGTATTTGAATATGGATTTGTACAGCTCATCTTTCAACATAGATATCTAGATATTCTGAATAAATGTTTGTTAACACTACCTATGTCTTTGTTTCTGGGACTGTATCTATTCCTCCTAATTCTGTTTTTATTTTGAGACTCACCACTTAATGGATTATAGTAGGTCTAATACAAGGATTATACAACTACATAATCCTTGGGTCCAACATTGCTAGGTGCCAGGTGGTAAACTTTATCTTGCCTCTGGTTTTCATTATATAGTAGGACAGGTAGGACATTCCTCACCTGACCTGAACCCAAGCCTAAACCCTACTAGGTACCTGTAAATCAGGAATAGTTTTTGGAGTTGATCTTGATAAACATAATTATTATAACAGTGAGTCAAATTTGATTATGATATTGATTTTGCAGACAGATATAATATGTAGGACATTGGATATTGATTTTTTCTGTTTTGATGAGAAGTAAAATACATCTTTAATCTCAATAACACATGAAGAACAAATAACTAGACAATATAAGATATCATTCAACATTGAAGTACATACTTTTAGAAAGATGCCACTAATTGGTGATTATTTTATAAATAAATACTGTGCTCAACATTTTCATTCAAATTTCAATCTGAAATAGAAGCAAGAAAGCTTTTATTGTAGCCGATTTTAATAAGCTTCACTTCTTTCATGACATGAACCTATTTAAAGCATGAAATCTGAAGAATTTCCTCTGAAGAACCAGAACAAAGAATGTATCAACTATTGAAATAGACCAATATCGAAAATCATAATAGACAGATTATGGTAACTGGTACTCACCTTAGAATTTATTCACACCAGTTCACGCTAATATTTCAAATCACTGAAATAATACTGTTGTAGAACAGAGATTTTCTTTTTTCTATGGTGAATTAGGTATTATACACAAAATTTAGACACTATGAAACACATCCCTAACGAAAACTTGACCACAATCTCAAAAATAACCATTTTTTCAGCGTGTTTACAGCTCAAGAATATTTTTGATGACATTATTGACGTTTCGATCCTTTGATCAGAAATCAGTTCACTGTCCTGATCCAAATCATATACGTATCCAAATATTTATCGGTCGGTAATATGTTTCCTGTAAATATGGATTGTAACCAGGATGAGCTTAGCGAGATTTACCCACGTCCAGTTTGTTTATTAAAGGTTTATCAGAGTAGGCGCCATCGAGAAACTTGCAAACGACCTTCAATAGGGAGCGAGCGCACCAGTTCTTACTTCCATCATTATTCTAACCACAGAACAGGCGTACACGTACTTGAATTTAATTTACTGAGTCGGTACATTAGACACTGAAATAAAATAATTATTATTATTTCAATTTGAAAATATGGTTCACGAATACAATGATTGATTCATGATAATTACAATCCAAATTAGCATACTTTTATCTTCTTATCGTTTTGTTTATCACTAAATTTTGTCTGATAAATCAATATAGAGGCACCTTTTTTATCTTTGGGTTCATATAGGAACAAAGGAACAGTTATAAAAGTTCAATGTGAATAGCGTCCTTGAAAATTGTGACCATTCTTTTGAAGTAAAATTTTTAAATTTCAAAAGCAACTAAAGTTGACAAAACAGCATGAATAGTGGTTCATTAATTTTACTGATCATTTCGGTTTTCAGTGTCATTGAAACAGCTTATAGCTGGAAGTTTTTCCATCATGGTAGAGTGATAGACAAATCTCATAAGTTGGGGTCATTTGAAAATGAAAAGCCTAGCAAATATGAAAGATGGATCACACAAAACCTGGATCATTTCCACCCTACCAATGAGAGAACTTGGCAACAGGTAAACATTTTTCATTTTATAATTTTATATAATAAATTTTAAATATATCATATGTCATCAAATCTTGATTGAATACTTGTATCATGATTGTATCATGTTTGTATGACCCCATGACCTCCAGATGGCGCCACCTTAGAGCAGATTAGCAGAATTTCAGGATAGGAGAGGATAAATCACAAAACGCCGTCTTGCGGATATTCAAGCAACTATAATAGAAAGTACATTGAAATGTTTGATTACATTGCAGGTTGCCATGTATTTTATCGAAAGTTATGTGGTCATTGTGATATTTTCAGAATTTGAATTCTTCAGTTAGAGTATATCTTGAATCAGTATTGCTGGGTTTCTCATGTTATTCATGAAAGTTTCTTCACTGCATTTTCTCTCGATTTCGAGATTGAATTCAGATCTATCTGATTCCAAGAAGTTAAGTTACAAAATGAATTTGGAAAAATGCAATCCTCACTCAAAAGCAAAGCTCAAGCACATTAGTTCAATTTTTCCTCGGTATATCAACTGAGTTATATTCGCACATAATCCAGCTTTGAGGACGTTTTCTCTTTTATATACCCACGTTTGTAAATTAATTGACTACATATCAAATATCATAATCTCTGTAAAATTCAACATCATATATTCACTCTAGTCAATTTGCTATATTTATTTTACTACCCATTGGAGACTGTAATATATCGAGTCAGCCGAGTTGAGACTTATTTCACATTTGGTCTTATAAAGTGAATAAACCATAATAAATTGAATATGTAATATGTTTTTCCCATAACTGCATTTATCTGTGGTATGTCTTTACAATTTCGTTTTTGCAGCGATATTATGTCAACGATGAGTTCTTCAATTCCACATCTAGGAATGTGGCATTTCTTATGATTGGAGGAGAAGGGGAAGCTACTGCCGAGTGGATGGAAGAAGGTTCTTGGATCGATTGGGGCAAAGAATTTAGAGCCATTTGTTTTCAGCTGGAACATCGGTATTATGGAAAAAGCCACCCTACAGGGTTAGTCGTTGGAATGGTTTTTCTGTTGTTTTCTCATTTCACTAGCTGTGAAACATTTTTTATTTCATTCAATAAGGTATATAGTATTGGGTAAAGTTGAGTGGGGAGTTTTTTGGCTGCGTCCACGTGATCAACTAGGTGACCAACTTAAAACCTAGTTTCTAAGGTACTGTTACTGGTCTATCTATCCGGAAAAGATGAAATAGACCATATTGAATGCCTTGGTCACGTGATAGAGAACACGCGCATAAATCTATATCTTGTTGACCATGATATACATATGTACACGTAATGCCAAAATAATCTATTTTTGTGTGAGAATTTGATGTGTTTAGTTTTAGTAAGTTTTGAACAGTTTTCTCAAATGATTAGTAAAATAATTCTTGGAAATTTTGTTAACAAGGGATCTGAGCACCGGGAATCTGGAATTCCTAAACAGCCATCAAGCTCTGGCCGACCTAGCTTTTTTCATAGAAGCGATGAATGTAAAACATGAGCTGTCCCCTGACATCAAATGGATAGTTTTTGGCGGATCGTATCCTGGTTCTTTGGCGGCCTGGCTTAGACAAAAATACCCCCATTTGGTGCATGGAGCAGTCTCCACCAGTGGACCACTTTTGGCCAAACTCAACTTTGACGGTAAGCACATCGTAAATAACAACTAAATTAGGATGAAAACTTGTTCCACCCTTGATTTGTCGAAAAATCATCAATCCTGCTGGTTTCAGAATATTATCGGGTGGTAGCTGACGATCTTCGTTTATACAGCGACGAATGTCTAGAAGCAGTCCAAGAAGGTTCTGCGCAAGCGGAAGTACTGCTCAAACACCCCCTGGGCCAGAAAAACCTCGACAAAGTGTTGAATTTGTGCGATCCGATCGCTGACAATGTAAACAACACCGATGACATTGCCAATCTGTTCACCAACCTCGCCGGCAACTTTGCGGGCATCTCTCAGTATAATAAAGACAACAGAAAGTCCAATAGGAAGCACAACGTCACTCTCGATACGCTGTGTGACATCATGGTGAATCAGACTATCGGTCCTCAAATCAACAGGTTGGCGGCTGTGAACAGTCTGATTTTGAACATTTCCAATCAGACGTGTTTGGACTATAAGTACGATAAGATGATCCAGGAAATGAAGAATATCAGTTGGGATAGTGAATCTTCTGAAGGAGGTGAGTAAAACTATTCTTTCAGCTTCGAGAACCCTTTTCAGAACAAAAAAATGATGTATGTCCCTGTGAAGTCGCAATTTTGATTTTTGTTTTGAAGATATTTGGAATTCGGACATTGTTTTATTTTTCACCCTTTCATAAAAAATATTGGTATCGACGATCTAACAATATATACTCTACTTGAACCGCCCTAGCCGTACCGTCTTGTACAAAGCATTGAAATTAACCTAAAGAAGAGGAACACCCATTGATATGGCTGCATATTGCCTTCCTCTCGTTTGTCGAATTCATTCTCCAGATCTTTAGGCGCAATAAATGTTGGATTTGAGATGTTAACGAGTCGAATTAATTCCCAGTTGACCAAAACATGCCGCAGCTTTATCCCTGCTGCATTTCAAATGTTCCATGTTTCATCACAGAGATGTTCCCATCAGAGATATAGCATAGATGAATGTCCGCCTCAAATGAAATCACAGACGCCTGGGATGCCTCAATTTTATCACGTTGATAGAACGTGTGATGAAACAAAGTTCTTTAATTGATCTCCTTTGTGATGACGCCTGAGATGCCTCAATTTTATCACGTTGATAGAACGTGTGATGAAACAAAGTTCTTTAATTGATCTGCTTTGTGATGACGCCTGGGATACCTCCATTTTATCACGTTGATAGAACGTGTGATGAAACACTGATTTGTAGCATTAATTCTGTAAACTTTGGCAGTAGCATGTTATATTTTTGATGCAAGTTGCATATGTTTCAGAACGGTGTGATGAAACGAAGTTCTTTGACTGATCTCTCTTGTGATAGAGCTGAAACATGTGTGGTTAACTGGGTTATCGTTAGTCAGATGAAAACAAAAAATGGGTCTTTTTGCTCTAACACTGATGATGGGATTGGTGAACTTCGGTTACCAAAGTCTCAATATAAGTACGTAAAATACAAACAGCTGATATTGTTGTTGTGCCTTGCATCTTACGATCCTCTCACGTTGTCATCAATTCTTCTCTCTCTAGGCCCTAGGCTATACCTAGAAGTTTATAATATGTTATTAGTAGATCGTGAAACATAAGTTACATCAAGAATAGGACCTAAAACAGGAACATTCATACCTTGAAATAGATTTCACTTACTGTTTGTTTTTTATCCTTGAGTGGTCTTGTTATTGAGGTTATTATGAAATCAATATGCTATTGAAAAAACGAATTTCTGTTCTTATTTTCATGGTCTGATGCCGATCTAAGTGTGTGGTTTATTGCAATCTTTTTCGTTCTTGTCTTCAAACTGTTTCTCTTGATTTCATCAGGTAGACAATGGACTTATCAGACTTGTACGGAGTTCGGCTTCTACCAAACCTCCGACTACAAGCCCCAAATTTTCGGTGACAAATTCCCTCTGGACTTCTCTGTCCAACAATGTGTCGACATTTTCGGACCCGAGTTCGACATGAAGTTCCAGCAGAAGGCAGTGGACGACACGAATGTTGCTTACGGAGCCCTGGACATTGAAGTTACGAATGTGCTTTTCGTGCACGGGTCTGTTGACCCTTGGCATGCCTTGGGCATCACCAAGACCCTCAACAACTATGCGCCTGCAATTTTCATCGAAGGTATTTACTGGGTGGCTATTTGAAAATGAAACAGAGCCAATCTTGGGCACTCCAGGTCAGGACATTTACGGAAAAGCGGTCGGACCGATGGTCCGACCCGTCAGTTTTTGTTTTTACCCAGATAGCACGAATTTCTTACAAACAGATATGTAATCTTGTAGAATATTCTAAGGAATATTCGTGTATTGTGAAAATATTCTGAGTGAGCACATTCAATTAAATGTTCCATCCATCATATGTTCCTCTATAAATGTACTTGTATATCTGGGTAGGTGTAAATTTTTTTTCTACTCCCTGAATAAAAACCCTCTTGCGGGGGTAAGACTGTTCAACCCTAAAATATTAAATGGAAGGGGGGGCGAATGTTATATTATTCTCACCTAGATTATTACCCCCGAGTTTGACATCGCTACTATCTTTCTAGTCCAAATAGTGGCTCACAAAAAGTAACAAAACGCAAGAGTGATCAAGTCCAATCATGACTTGAGCTCTTCTATGTGTCACATAATTCTTTCAGAAAATAATAAGATATCATTCGACCCTCCTTTCCATTTGATATTTTAGTGTTGATTACCACCCCCGCTAGAGGGCGAAAGTGCCCAAAAATGTTTCCCCCTGAAAAAATTACGGTTCCGAGCGATATTTCCTAAATGACCGGGGATGGCCAGAATTGCCTCTATTTCGTTTTCAAATGGCCACCCTTTATATGAAGTTTATCATTTGTTAACCATTTGAAATTTGAAACAAACATTTTTACATTTGTGTAAAACATATTCTTGAATAGGATGAAGGTTTTTTGTTATTGGGTTGTTTAGTTCAACCTGTTGAATACCCGAATTAATAAATAAATATTTCAGTATCTTCCCAGATCTGAAACAAAGACAATAATTAATTATTGTTTTTATTCTTTTAGGGACAGCACATTGTGCAGATATGTATCCTGCAAGAGACTCCGATCTGCCTCAATTAAAAGCAGCCAGAGTGCAAATTCAACAGCAGATTTCTTCTTGGCTTGACTGGAATTTGTACTAAGTTATCAATATCGTATTTTGAAAAATGATTTCGAGTTATTTTATTTTCAGAATGTTTTTCACTGTTAATTAATTTGTCTCTCTCTAGCACCAGAAGAAGCATTGAAAATACATTTTATTGAAATAAGTAATAAGTAGGCAGTGATTTCTTTCCTTTGTCAAACTTATATTATTTGATAAATTTCAAACCAAATTCAATATAGTATGAGACGAAACGAATGAAACATCAAAATAAGATAATACATATACTTAGTAGTGAATTTTTTAAATTTTGTCAGCCTCAATTTAAATGTTCTTTTTGTTCCTTCCGAATATATAGGTAGATATATATCATCATATTTTCATCACCTAAATAGACTTAGATAAAATAACGACTGGTCGACTGGTATATAAGTGCATTTCATAATTTGTCTGCATTCGATCACTGCTTGAAAATTTCCCAGGGATACAATGAATGTTTGAAAATGCCGTGAGAACTTATGTTATTTATGGTTGGAAGCCCTAATGATGGTCATGGATGACTCATTTTTGAATTTTTCTAAACAACGCCACTGCTGGGTCCAGTGGCGTAATTTCATATTTTCGGTCCCCCCGCCAAAATCATTTAGGGTCCCCTCGAGAAAAACCTTTCCAGTCAGAAGTTCCTTCTTTCCATGAACTATTAGTTATATTGAATAACCAACAAGCTTCACAATACGCTTTATTTTCATTGGGTGAATAATACAACCATTTTCTTGGAATAATTTGCCCAGCATGACTTTTCTGTGAATATTAAAAATTAGAGAAACTGATCCTCTTCTGAAAAATTGTTATCTGGTTGAGACGGGCCATTACGAACAATAAACATTTTTATCGTGTTGCTCAATTCTCGGCCACTGAAATTGCCTTCATCACAAGAAAATGATTCTTTGATTAATACATATCCAGTAATGAATCATCTGACTCAGTTCCATCTCCAGATATAATACTTTTTATATTCACACCATCTGTACCTACAGTTTCGAATGCAGTAGTAGCAGAAGTCTCGTCATTTGCTGAGTAAAAATTTGGTATTTTCTCTATATACCTTTATTTCTTATCTCCAAAAACTTTATTCCATTCAAATTGTCACTGAGAAGCTAGTGAATTTTTCTTTCAGGCTCTCTGATAGGAAAAATTCTTAAAACGCAGTGGCATTTTGGGGCAAATCTTCTGATTTGTACTCACTACACGTATATTGAAATAATATTCATATTTTTATTTCATAGAAACGAGGAGCGAAAATCCCAAAAAATCTGGAATAATAGTTTTTCATCCACAATTATTGCAGAGTCCACATCCATTCCTGTTTCAATCATCATACTGCTACTACTTGATGGACATTCATCATAATATTCAAGTGTATCATCCGAAACAGTAGTAGTATTCGTAAAGAACGGGGTAATCTTGGAAATTTTACACTTATCATCTTTTATAACTCTTGTTTCCTTCTTCTTTTTGAAGCACCACTAGTTAATTAGTATTAATCAAGTTCTCCATTCAAAATAATTGGCTTGTATCGTTGATTTCACAGTTTCACACATCACCCTGGACCTACACTGAAAAAAACATGCCTGCACTATAAGCAGAAATGGAAAAATTATTTCTGTGGCAGATTCATAATTAAAAAATATTCATGTATCAACCAATTTGGCTGAACCCTTGCTCTGGTTGGTGGACCCAGGGCCCCAGGGCCCCCTCCGAGGAACGGGCCCCCCGCAACCGCGGGGTTTGGCGGTATAGTAGTTACGCCACTGGCTGGGTCGTATCACATGGGCGTCGATTAGGTAACCTTTTTGACAAGTTGAAAATCTTTGAAACAATTTTGGAAAATTTAATATATATCGGCGGCGAAAATCTATAATAAAATCAAATAATCCACACATTTATAGAACGGAGAAAAATACTCAGAGTAATCACATTTTCAGATAAGAATGTGCACTTTTGATGTTCATCATCAAGCATATACCTATATATGAGCATATATGATGAATAAATACAGGGTTTTTAACGATGAGTGTTATATAATCATCTTTTCTGGTAAACCAAGCAACAGATGAATCTGAAAATTTGATGGTATATGTATAATTTGACATGTTCTACGCGTCTAAAATATTTTCTACTAGAAAATAGTAACTTTGATATTTGAAATGGAACACCCCGCATCATTCGAAATATTTTAGATGTGTAGATCATGTCAATTTATACATACCATGGCAAATTTCCAGATTCATCTGTTGCTTGCATGGTTTGCAAGAAACGTATAATTAACGGTCATCGTGAAAAAAAAACCTGTATAATTTGTTAATATACAGGGTGATTCAAAAGTAAGCGGCATCCTTTCAGAGGCGTATTCCTTGCATGAAAATAAGGCAAAAAGTTCCTATTGATAAGGATCCGAAAATGCTTCCTAAGGGAGCTACGGCCCTTTGAATAGGACACCTCAAAGACGGTTTTTTCTCTATAACTTTAAAATCCTTCACAACAAATTTTTAAAAATTGGTGTACGGCATAAACATTCGATGGTAAATAGGACTCCGTATTCGAAATAATTTCCAAACGAAATCACAGTAACCTGAATATCCGGAGAAGAAGGGATATTTTTACACTTACCCTCTCCCGCATGTGACGCCCCTGAATGAAATTCTGAAATTTCGAATACGGAGTCCTATTTACCATCGAATGTTTATGCCGTACACCAATTTTTAAAAATTTGTTGTGAAGGATTTTAAAGTTATAGAGAAAAAACCGTCTTTGAGGTGTCCTATTCAAAGGGCCGTAGCTCCCTTAGGAAGCATTTTCGGATCCTTATCAATAGGAACTTTTTGCCTTATTTTCAAGCAAGGAATACGCCTCTGAAAGGATGCCGCTTACTTTTGAATCACCCTGTATATATGAGGCAACGAAGGGCCACGACCCCCTCCCCTTTACCTTCATTATAGACGCATGTAGGTCGTGAGAATGACAAGAAATATTCTAGATAATTGAATTAATAATTGAAGTGTCAGTATAGGTAGTGCGACAGAGTTTATCAGAAATAGGTACCTATATTTATTTTTAACTATATCTAGCCACCCTGCGCGCGTTGCTACGCTATACTTACTAAAAGACAGTACACAATAATTGAATTAAGTTCGAGTCATTTTTTTGATTGTAGCTGACCTGGTAAACGTTGTTTTGCTATGTACATTATTTCTGGAAAATATTTCTTTAGTTGAATATTCAACAACACACTTTGATCATTTTATTTTCTACTTAAGTACTAACAAAATTTTGTTTAGTTTGACTAACCATAAAAGCGTGTTTTCATAATTTTTCAAACTACTATTTTACTTCCTTTCAGTTCGGTAATCTATCTCTTTAGTTTTCTATAAACTATCATACTATTAATTTTCTTTTCCTTTTGGCTAAATGGCTATCAATGAAAGCGTCGTATTTCATTAGTTTTTCGAAACACTATATTGATTACGAATCTCGTTCGGCATATTGAATCCGCCAACTTGATCGAATTTTAAAACCATCAAAATTTGATGAAAGAATTATAATCTCCGAACCCGAAAACTCCCATCAGCTACCAATTTTGAACAGAATATCTGATCATAATTACAAAAGTCGTCGTCCTCGAGGTTGTATCCGCCCATCTGGAATTTTCAAATTTTGAGTTCCGACCGCAAAACCCTCAGATACAAATATTGAATGGAATCTGTTCATATTTACAAAACCTCCGTCATATTGGATCCGCCATCTAGATTCTCTTAATCTCAACAAAAGAAGATTTTGTGAAATCTTTCAAATCGTTTACGATTCTATATATAAAGAACTATTAGGTTTGACCCTTCTAATATTGAACTAATTTAACACAGAACACCCAGATACCTACGACTTCACTGCTGTATTCAAAGTTACGCCACTGCTCTTGAACAATATACGGAACAAATCACCCCCTTCCCCCCCCCTTATGTTCCGCACCACGATCACGTCGTGTAATCGCCTTGGAATTCGGAATCCCTTCGACTTTAGAGGTATTTTACAATTTACAGGTGAGATGCCAACCTATGGACAGGATGTTCAGAGCGATCGCTAACGCTCCATGTGTCCGTCTCTTTCCAACGCACGACTCTGTCCTTGTTTGGAGGCGTCTTGTTATTTGATAGGTGGGACAGAGTTGCCATTTTTCTGGTGGCGGACACCAACAGGCAGAAACTAATACCTATAATAAACAATAGTCGTTTTGCTACTTGAACTGACATTTAGTGTGTGCATACAGGTTATATTTGTGTGTGCACTTCTAACTGATGGCCATTGATTTACGAGATTTCTTTTATATAATGTCGATGTAATCGTGTTTGTGTGTATGCGTTGTTATTAACTCCATACGTCACTTCAAGGCGTACCAATGTTGATTTGAAAGCCACAGTGAATCTTACGAGACGATTTTCAACGAATAATATGCAGCTAGGAAATTTATAATATATAACACGACTCATATAAATCGATAATCTCTGTCACCACTGGCGACATCAGAACCTAAAATAGATACACCTAATATATGGATCTTCCCATTATTCATTTTTCAATACAGAAGGCATCAGACAGAAAGATATATTATTATAGAGTGAGAGTGAGCAGAGCATGACTGTTTCAGAAAGTATCTATCGATCAATAGTTAATTACTTTCTACAGTATATGTATATTAATCTATAAGTACTGACATGTTATAATTATTATGAATGGTAATTATCAATGAAGAAGTAGGCATAATAATACTATGAGAAAAACTTTCATTGAAATCGCCAATAAATAATCTTGATATACAATCTACTTATACGTATACGTATATTCTGTTTTCCTGGAATAATTGTTATTCAAATTCAATGATTGTATAAGTTACGCATCATTCGGTTTCAATCATCTTCTCAATTTCTATCAAACGATCCATGCATCGTAATAATTCTAGATGTATGCATTGAAATGGAAATACGTACATTATTATATTTTATGATATTATACATCCTCTACCTATATTTGGAGTGGATAATTGTTTCAAATCTCTACTACATGATTTTTAATTATTATTATACCAATATACAAAATACCCGTATACCTATATAATATTATGACTTGGGAGAAAGTCTATGATTATGCTAGAGGTATGATCAGGGCCGGCTCTACAGATTTATCTGCTAGTGTGCAAATCCTAGAGTAGCGCCCCTATTGGAGTTTATTGAATTAACAAACTGAAAGCTGATGCAATAATAGTTATTTAACCAACTAGTATATTAATGAGGGCGATTAATGATCGAGATATTTTAACGTGCGAGCGAAGCGAGTGCGTTAATGTTCGAGATTATTAATCGCCTTTTAATATACAAGTTGGTTACAAAATTTTTCCGTCGACTATATTTCTCATTTCTCCTGCAATGAAGAAAACTTGGTTCGCCAA